CTCTTAAACAGAGCTGAAGAGTCAGGGGAGGAGCACAGCAGCTGAAGCCTGGGAGGGGAAGTGCCTGGCTGGGGGCGCAGGGTCCGGAGGCATGGGGGCTGCCCGAAGCCTGAGCGCTACCGGCTTCACGGTTTGCCGGGCAGCTTCCAGACCCTGCGCCCCCAGCTGGGCGCTTCCCCTCCCGGGCTCCAGCTGTGCTGGGGAAGCACCGGCTGCGGGCACAGGGTCTGGAGGCTGCCCGGCAAACCGTGAAGCCGGTAGCGCTTGGGCAGCCTTTTTTGCGTGGCTGGGAGGGAGGCGGGGGAGTTAGGGCGGGGACTTTGGGGAATGGCGGAGTTGGGGCGGGGAAGGGGCGGAGTTGGGGCGGGGTCGGGGTGGGAAAGGGGCGGGGCCAGGGCCCCGTGGAGTGTCCTTTTTTTTATTTTTTTAAATATGGTAACCCTACCTAAGCTTGTTCAGAAGAGACGACCCATTTACACTTATTTTGCTAAAGAGACAGTGCTGATGCCGAACCCCGCGTTTCAGCCTGAAATTGAACCGAAGAACCAGGAAGACTTTATGGGGTCATCGCCACTTGTAAAAGAGGAAAAGAATATTGTGCAAAAAAATCTGTTGCAGGCTTTGGAGGAAGCAGACTCAAAGGTGGAGGTAAGGTGATTTGTATTATTTTACAATAAAATGTTGAAAAACTATAAATGTTTTATATTTTATGGTTAAATATATTTATGCTTTTTATTGGTGGGGGCGGAAGAAGAACCTATACATGAGGACATGGCAACCTAGAGATCATCAGAGGATAGCGAGGTCGAGAGCCAACCGATAGACCCTGAGTCATGGAAAGATGGTGACATTGTTACGGTAAAAGCAACTAAAGGTTTCACCAGGTGTGAAAAAATTATTACAATGATGTGCTTAAAATTGATTTTTTGTTTTTTTGGCAGATATCCAAGCCAAGACTGTACAGGATCACAGCTCTGGTGTGTAGCGAGTGGCCATCAAATGCAAAGCCAGAAACTCATGATGACGTAAAAACAGCTTCAATTATTCTGAAAGAAATATATATGTATATAAGGTGGGTTTAAGTTTTTATTAAGGCTCTATATTTGTGTTCAATAACCGGGTGCTGATATGATTCCCGATGGCGTAACCGAGGATGATGATGATGATGATGATGATGATGATTCAGAAATAGACGAGGGTATGATTGAGGTAGCACAAGGAAATTGTTTGCCTTTTTAATTTTTAAACGATTGCAACAAAGAATGTAAAACCTTTTTTTCTCTGCTTTGGACAGACATCTTCAGAGGATGAATCGGATAAAGAGAGACGTACTTTGCGTATCACGGTTATTCATCTCACCTGCTGGTTTTGCATGAAGCATGATTTTTTGTAAAAAGTAAGGAGGTTGATCAGCAGAGATGCAAAGATGACATTACGGTTGACGTTATTATGGCCATTGTAGTAAAAACCACGTATCACTGTTTGAAAAGAGAACTTTTTGAAAACTATGCAACCTGCGTGACAGACTTCCAATGTACTCAGCCACGTTCATTGGTCCTGGGATTGCCCAGAAATATTTCACCAGATTAGATATATTTCTTCTCATCTGAAAATGGTTTGGGTTCTAAATATAATTATGGCTGAAGCCTACAAACTGAAGCAGCTGAACATGACCACTGAAACTGTAACCGATGTCAAAATGATCAGGGAGGTAACAGAGACAGCAGACCCGTTGGCATTGCTGATAGGCCTTTCAAAGAAGGTGTCAGCAGTAATTGGCCAATCAGTGTGGAGTATGGTTTGTAAAATGAATCATAAAACTTTTTACATGCCATTTCCTTATCCTAAAGGGTTGTGATAAATAAAGTGGTGGGATAGCACTCTTTGATTGACACTCAGCTAGCCAGTTAGCTGTAAAATCCCTCTTGGTAGCTGTTCTCTGCTTACTTTATCTGTAAATGGTTAACAAGCCCACAGGTAAAAGAAAAGGAATGGGCACCTGACCGAAAGAGCCAATGGAAAGGCTAAAACTTTTAAAAATGGGAAAGAAACTTTCCCTTTGTCTGTTGTGTCTGTCCATGAAAGAGGGGAAGAGAGGGCAGCAGGAATGCTGTGTAAGGCTTGAACCAGGTATGAAAATTCATCAGATCATACCTAGAATTGCTTATTTGAAACCCCCCAAATATGAAAGTAAATTAGGAGTGTTTAGCTAGACGCAATCTGTTTATTTCTGTTTATTTTTTATGGCTTGTGAATTTCCTCTGTGCTAAACCCAGATGTTTTCGTTTGCTTGTAACCTCTAAGCTGAACCCCCAAGAAAGCTATTTGGGGTGCTTAATTTTTGTAATTGTTTCTTTTAAGATCTAGCAAAAAGCCTAAGTTCCAGAAGTATTGTTTCCTTTTTGTTTTTAATAAAATTTACCTTTTTTAAGAACAGGATTGGATTTTTGGTGTCCCAACAGGTTTGTGCATGTTGTGTGATTAGCTGGTACACAGCTAATTTCCTTTGTTTTCTTTCTCAGCTCTTCCCCAGAGGGGGGTGGGGGTGAAAGGGCTTGAGGGTACCCCACAGGGAGGAATTCCCAAGTGCTCCTTCCTGGGTTCAAAGGGTGGGGGTTTTTTTGCATTTGGGTGGTGGCAGCATTTACGAAGCCAAGCTCAGAGAGAAGTTGTAACCTTGGAAGTTTAATACAAGCCTGGAGTGGCAAGTATTAATTTTTAGAATCCTTGCAGGTCCCCACCTTCTGCACTCAGAGTGACAGAGTGGGGATTCAGCCTCGACAAGGGTAAATAAAAAGGGCTGAATATTGATTAAAATGAAATGTAAAATAAAAAAGACTCGTATAACCGCTTTCTATATTATTTTGCTTCTGTATTAAATAAATTGTGTATAGCCCTATCCTATATTACTCTACTTTTGCATTTAATAAAAGCTTGTCTTTTTAAAAGTAAGATGTGTTTAGCCACTTCCTATATTACTCTGCTTCTGTATTAAATAAAAACAAAAAGCAAAAATTTGATCTTGTGCATACATGTGTTTTAAAGTAGGACGGGTTAGACATGGTGGGGTTACTAAAGAAAATTTATTACTCACCCAGAGAAGCTGGGCGTTTTGGTGGGTTATTACCCTTATTTCAGGCCACGAAAAACCACGGTAAAACTTTGAGCAGAAAGCAGGTTGAAGCTTGGCTTGTGGATCAAGATGCTCACACTTTACATAAACCGGCAAAAATGAAATTTAAAAGAAATAAAACAGTTGTGTCTGATGCCAACATGCAATAGCAGGCAGATTTGGTCAGCATAGCCTCCTATTCTAACCACAACAATGGTCGTAAATATATTTTAACAGTGATAGATATTTTGTCTAAATATGCCTGGGCGGTATCCCTAAAGAATAAGATCGGGGAAGAAATGGCAAAGGCGTTTAAAACTATTTTTAGACAAGGCCGCGTGCCTCAAAAATTACAGACAGATCATGGAAAAGAGCTTTTAAACAATGATTTAAAGACTTGGTTTAAGCACCAAGGTGTACACCATTTTGTTACCAATAACAAAGTCAAGGCTGGGGTTGTGGAGAGGTTTAACAGAACTTTAAAATGAAAGATGTGGAGGTATTTTACCACTCATAGAACCTTTCGATACATCGATGTGTTTCAGGCCTTCATAGACGGTTACAACAGAAGTTATCACAGAACTATCAGAGGACGCCCGATTGATGTGACACATGCTAACGTGCTGAGTGTGTTGAAAACCACCTATGGGGATAGTTTTAAAATAAAGGCACTGCAAGTGATTTTTAAGAAAGGGGGATCACATAAGGGAATCTAAAACAACGGGTACTTTTGAAAAGGGATATCAGGAAACCTTTACTGATGAAATATTTATTGTGTCTGGTGTTTTATTATGAGGACAGTGACCTGTGTACACATTAAAAGATTACGGAGAAGAGGAAATCGCAGGCTTTTACCCTGAAGAATTACAAAAAGTAAACCCTAACCAGGACCATATTTACAGGGCAGAAAAGATTCTAGCAAAGAAAGAACTGGGGAGTAACGAATATTTTTTTGTGACATGGAGAGGATGGTCTGAAAAATGTAACAGTTTAAGACGTCTAATAAAAGGGAAAATGGCTGAAGGGGTTTTACATTACCATACCTAGCAATGCCTCTGCGAGGGCTTTTCCTCAAAATACTAGTTCCAATTTTACAATACAACTGGCCAAGCCTTTAAACTTGACTGGTTATTGGGATGTCACTTTATCGGAAATTCATTATTGTCACTCATGGAATACGCTCTCTCATGATTCATGATAGCGTCAAAAAAGAGAAATTCAGTCCTACAACGTAGAAGCCGATTATTATTCAAGCATTCATCATTTAGTAGAGAGCATCAACAAGAACATCGACAAAGATTCCAAGAAACCGAAGGTCAGCCTTATTTACGACTTGGTGACCAGAAGGGTTCGGTTAAAAGCAAACGATGAAAAGTACTTTTTTTCCACACGGGGAGAATTGGCAGCAATATTGGCAGGGCCGGCTCTAGGAATTTTGCTGCCCAAAGCAAAAACAATTTTGCCCCCCCCCCGGTTCTTTAAT